GCATTTGTTGGGAAAAGTACCTGGTAAGTTCCTTCAGTGAGGTTCAAGGGTGGATTTCTCACATGTTCTCTCCTGCAGATAGGACTATCCAGTTGACTCTCCTAGGACTATGTGAGAAGATACAGTGGACACACAGAGGGAGAAACTTGGTACAAGGGAGTCAGGGTTTCCTAGATTATGTGGAACTTTAATTTAAGGATGCTGTTTTTTCAGTCTTCCAGAAGATGTGGATGTGATCACCATGTGAGATTTGAGTCTGATCATCACCTTACAGAATTGTGTTGTACGGAAAGCCCTGAGGATAAGCACCTTTGTTCCCTTGCGTCTTTCAGGATTCTTTACTTGTCTATGTTGTATTTTGTTAGTTTGACTACAATATGCCTTGGAGATAGACAGTTTTGTTGAATTTAATAGGAGTTCTCTGTACTACTTGAATTTTGACATCTGTGTCCTGCATATTAGGGAAATTTTTGGCTATTATTTTATGGAATAAAACTAATCCCTTCTTTTATCTCTCTTCATCTTCTGTGACTCTTATGATACAAATGTTATTATGTTTTAATAAGTCACTGAGTTCCCTAAGTCTACCTTCATGGTCCATAACTTGGTTTCCCTCTTCTTTTCCCTCATTTTGTATAATTTTATCTTGTATACCTCAGATTCGCTCCTCTCCTTCATCCATCCTCATTTTTTATGAACTGCATTTTGAGTGCATTTTGGATTTAGTTGTTTGTGGGTTTTTGTTGTTGTTGTTCTAATTTGGGGCTGTTTCAATTTTAGTTCACTTATCACTGCAGTAAGGGATTCTCTAGTGACTTCTATCCTTTTTTCCAGCCCAGTTTGGACCCTAAAATCATTGTTTTAAGTTCTAGATCAGACATCATACTTATATTTGTAATGATTAAAAGCCTGTCCATGAGATTTACTTCCTATTCATTCCTCTGAGGTAAACATTTCTATCCTTTCATTTTTTATTTTCAGAAAATAGAAAAATAACAGGGTAAAAAAATCAAGAAATGAAGATCTTGGGTTTGTTTTGGTCTGCTGTGAAAAAAGAATATACATCACTAAATAATTAAAAATAAATATAAAATAACCTCTTCCCCTTTTTTAAC